ACTTGAAATGACTGGCAAAGCACTCTCTAACCGTGTCGAGGAATTGAAGTGGTTCGATAGAATACGGCCTTCTGATTCGTCGACGGGCTCAACACGTCGCGAACGCGCCAAGGAAGTCGCGTCGGGCGCTGTTTCCTGTTTTGCCAGCCCCTCGGCAGATAAACACGACCGCTATCCCATCCACAACCCCCATCCACACACCCACCGCCGTCCATTCTTCGTGTCTGCATTGATTCTTCCCCCATATCCTTCTATTCATTGCGCCATACGCACCGACAATGTCGCCCATTGCTCCAGGCCAGCTCCCGGCTGAGCTCGTCAGTCTCCTTGCGCTCCACTCCTCCTTTCTCACCGCGTTGTCGCTGCACTATGCGCACAATGGCACTTCGACACCCGCCGACCTGCGCGACATCGCTGCGTCTACCACAAACGTCTGGCGCCAGCGCAAAGTCACATACGACGACATCAGACTGCTAATTGGCGTGCTCGACAACGGCCCGTCTGGTCACAACAACCCGTACCATCTCTCCGACTATGGCCGCGGCAAGATCTGCATCGATATCAAAGAAGACACCCCACTGATGGGCGGAATGACACACATCAACGAGCAAGGATTACAGGACATGTTCAGAGAGGGCTTGGAAAGTTTGTGGTCACGGTGGACCATTTCTCAGAATCTGGCTAGTCGTCCTATTGCAGTGCCAAAACGAGGACGAAGCCGAGCGAAAAAGGCGACTGGTAACCAGACGCGCATGGAAACATTCTTGGACGACACCTCAATGTCAAAGTTCCTCAGCGAGCTTCCTCTAGCCGAAATCACAACCTGCTCTTCTCTGGCCACTCTAACACCGCTACAAGAGAAAGGCCGCAAACGACTTAGAGAATTCAAAGAGAGTGTCCAGCAAGGACGTGCACAGAAAAAGACTCGGCCATCTAGTGGGAAGGAAAACGAGGCAACCTTTCAGGACCAGACAGCGCCCCCGGCTCAAGCAAAGATCACCGAATTTGCCTCCGTGCGAAAAACCAACCTCTTGGACAGAATCCTTGCGAAGCAGGAAGCAGCAAAATCTGGACCAAAAGCGCCCTCTCCGGCAGAGCTCCAGCGAAGGGCCGCCCTCCAGCGTGCACCAGAAGTTGTTGGCGTACTATCTCTTCTCTGCGCAAGCAAGCCTGGCGCTCGGGTTTCTTTTTCGACAACCACTTTACTCCAATCATTGCAAGGTTCCATCCGCACGCCTATTTCGAAGGAGGAAGCCATGAAGTGCATCGATGTCCTGGCAAACGAGCTTGCGCCGGGATACGTTTCGGTTGTGAGCATGGGCACTATTTCTAGTGTTGTTGTTATGCCAGCTATGAGACCGTTGGATATCAAGAGCCGATTGGTCTCATTGGGTGTTGCATAAATGTGATCAGATTCTAAACTTAGCATTGTTTTTTCGAGATATCCGGCGATCTGAGATCGCGCTGCAGAGACCACCTCTGCCTCTATTATTGTTTGTTTAGTTTTTGAGCGCGGGCATATTTCAATCCGCTGTTTTAAATATTGCATATTAACGACCCTTCATTAATTCCAACTCGTTTTCACCTTGCCATCCTCAGACCAGTTGCGTTCCGCTATGTGGGTGTCGGTTGTTTCGGCTGTCACATCAATGCGTCTGATCTGCAACCTGTGCCAGATGCTGCTAGGCTCATCGAAGCTTCGGAAACAAGCTTCTCGAATCGTCTTGATAGTTTGGAAGACTTCAATGTCTATGTTGGGATTTTGTTGACAGGTACTATATCGAATTTTCTATATCGCCATGTTCGGTTTCAACAAAGCGAGGAGTCGAGTCAACTCATCTTCTCAGCACATGCTCCTCCCATACGCTCACTAACGTCCACCAACTACCAAAATTCTAAAATACCCACCCTAGAACGACACGGGACCACTAACAAACCTCGTTTCGCAGTGCCCAACGGTCCCAAACGCCCGCCATCCCGCCACCTGCCTACCGCCAAGCTATCTTGACAGCCAACGTCCCTTACCACCAACGTTCGATACCAACCTAACTGCATAGATAGGTCTCCAGATAATTTCCTCTCCCGCGATGCGGATCGCACCATGGATTTCTGCATCACCATCCTTACCCGCCTTTACGGTTTCTTTCCGGAAGGAGACGCGGGATGGCGGAGAGGAGCCTGAGGCACAGAGGGGAGAATGGAGATATATAGATGTGTTGTAGTATGAGGAGAATGAAGAGTGCAGAGTGCAGAGTCGATCCTTGTAGTGTTTTTAGACGTCTTACGATACGATACGATACGATATCGAGCAGTGCTCGATCACAGTTCCTTACTTGGTGTGTTTAGTTTCTATACCATACTTTCTGGTTGATTTTTGAAAAAAACTGTTACCATCGCTGCTGCATTACAATGAAGTCTTCCACCATTCTCCTTGCGCTCTCTGCGCTCCTTGTTCAGACTGCGTCGTCTGCACCGCACCCATTCGTTCATGATCACGTGCACTTGGTGAAGAAGGAGATGGCTGCCGGTGAGTTGAGATGGTAGTTTGAAGGCTTGGAATATGGCTGATGGATGGGGATTTAGCGGCGCCTACGCCTCCTGCTGAAGCTGCTACTCCGCCAGCTCATCCTGCTCCTCCGGCTCCGCCTGGTGAAGTTGCTACACCTCCGGCTCATCCACCTACGCCACCGTCTGAAGCTGCTGTTCCCCCTACGCATCCGGCTCCGCCTGCTGAAGTCGCCACACCACCGTCTGGTGTTGCAACGCCTCCTCCACCGCCTACTGAGGCTCCTCCTCCGCCAGGGAAAGAGACTCCTCCTCCGCCACCAAGTGAGGTTCCTCCTCCACCACCAAGAGAGACCGCTCCTCCTCCTCCTCCACCAACTGAGGCTCCTCCTCCACCACCAGCCCACGCCGCAGCGGCAGCAAACGGCACCATCACCGTCGCCGCAGGAGACACTCTTGCCCGCCTCGCCGCCGCAAACGGCGTCGGAGTCTGCGACCTGGCCAAAGCAAACAAGATCGCTAATCCGGACATCATCGATGTTGGCCAAGTCCTTGTTGTCCCTGCACCAGTTGCTGCGGCGGATAATGTCAGCTGTATTAGTAGTGCGGCGGTGGGGAACGGGACGGCACCTGCTGTGGCTAAGGGGAAAGGGAAGGGAAATGGGAAGGGCGAAGGCAAGGGGAAGGGAAAGGGAAAGGGGAAGGGGAATGGAAATGAAGCGGAGGCCAAGGGGAAAGGAAAGGAGAGGAAGAGGGCTGTGCCGATTTGGTTGGATTATGAGTAGGAGGTGAAGAGGCAGGACAATTGGGAGATGTTTTGACTAGGACTGGTTCCTGAATATGTGGAATATTTCCTTAGGATGCTAAGAGTTGATTCAATTACTAGTTGAATGGATATCCTACTCTAGCAGAACTTGGAGTGTCCTATGGTCTTTGTGACATGGTGTGAGTACTGAGGGGAAATGCTGATGAGAAAACCCGAAGTTTGCACTGGCTATCTACTTATACACAATCGTAGCGTCTTTGGCTATATTATGAGAAGATTAGGAGATAGTAGTCGATCATGTCACTTTCGGAAATGATACAGATTCGGATACCTACATTGCACGAGCAAACTGCACTGTATATGCCCGAAGAAGCTACCTCTGCACCTTTGTAATATTTCTTCATTCTCTGATCCTTACCTTTTCCCCATTATCTATAATGCCTTACCTCTAGACTTGTCAGAGAATGTTGGTGTAACAGGTGTGCAAAAGTCATACGGATGTAGTGTTACCGAGCTATCGCCGACCCACCTTTGCTGCCCCATCTGCCATTACTCAAGCTGTCCCATACCCGACACCGTAGCCGTGGGGTCCCCATATCCGCAAACCACCTCGCCCCAAAATGGTACAACGACTCTTCCCTCCCCATATCAGATAACCAATCTACGAAATGAGCAGCTACGCCTCCGACTACCCCTCTCTCGACTTCGACCCCGCCTACAGGCAGTTCTTCGAGTCCTTCTATGCCATCTCGGACACCCCAGATGCACACAATGAATACATAAAGAACTTCACCAAAGATGCCACGCTAATCATGGCGACGAAAAAGGCTGTTGGGTCCGATGGTACGTTGTGTTGCTGCTTCCCCTCCACCAACTCGACCACCCTCCCACTTACACAAAAGCACAGAGATCCTAGCCCTCCGCACAGCAATGTGGGAAAAAGTGTCGTCGCGCAAACACAGGGCCATCAAGATCTTCCCCTTTGGCCCTAACGCCGATGAAGTCATGCTTTACGGGACTGTGAAGTACGGACTCAAAGCGGGTGGCGAGTCGGGGCTTGATTGGGCTGCGAGGGCGCACTTGGTAAAGCAGGATGGGAGGGTGAAGATGGACTTTTATCAGGTTTATCTGGTATGTATTATCCTTTGCGGTTTGTGTTTGGAGCTTTGGAGTTGTTGCTAATAGGCATAGGATACTGGCGCGCAGGCCAAGTAGGGTAGGTCAGGGGCAATTGGGGAATTAGAGAATATAGCAGAGATATTCCTACACAAAATATTGCCCTGGAAGAATTGATCAATAGTAAAAATGGGAAAGATTCATGCAGGAATTCATTGTGCCTATAGTGGGCTAATGTTCACGTGATGAATCACTGTTGAAAGACTCTTCCTGTACTTTGAGCGCATTGAAAAGCAAGTAGTCCGTAATTACCATCATAATAACCTTACACACAGATAGCCATATTGATTCAGGGCGGGTTGAGAAACAAAATCGTGTTTTCACGAAGACTATGAACGGATTGTCGAGTCCCCACACTATGCACCAGCCAATGAAGCGAATCCATTCCCGGAGCACAGAAAATTTTGCACCACGGGACCGATGTACCTAACACATGCCGCAGGGCAGTCACACGCTGGCGCTTAACGCATCTCTTTTTCTTTCCAGCGCTTCAAAATAATATAGGTGGATATATTCCATTAAAAGAACAATTCTTCCATCAACAGTACAACCAGCCTGGTTAGCTCAATCGGTAGAGCGTGAGACTCTTAGAGTATTCACGTTCCCACAGAACGATTGATCTCTCTGCAATCTCAAGGTTGCGGGTACGTCTACCCCACACTACCAATCACATCTGCCATATACTTACAATATCCTCAGGTTCGACCCCCGCATCGGGCTTATGTCAGTACATTCTTTTTTTGCACTTTTTTTTTGCAACCTTTTTGGCTGGGCACCAAATGGGCTCGTAGTTCAAGCTTGCTCTTGTACTTTATGGGAAGCTACGGCGAAAATGACATGGCTTTATTTTTAGTCATAGTTGGTGTCCGACTGTGAAAAGTAGTGTGTTGTTCGTCGTGTTCACTGTGGACGCGGTGAATGGTGTTGCTGCACGTTTGATGCCACACCTTCGATCGTGCCCAACGAACGGCGGATAAATTACACCTATCAGTCCCTCCATCGTGCCTTACTGCAGGGAGATTTTCTGTCGCTTGCCGGATTTCAAGATACTTACCAATTGTAAGGGAAATGATGTAGTTTCCAGACCAGGCTTGCTTCATTGTTGTGAAGGTCCCGGGACGTATCTGAGAGCATATTATGCAAAAGAACCCAAATCCTTCATCACAAAAAATCATGAACATGTCATTTCTATATTAAAGTAATGACCTTCTGCTCCGCAAGAGCATCTGTAGCGCTAAACCACGACCCAGATATGTGAACATGAGTCACATGCACGATTCCAATCCGCTCGTACAATTCATCTTCCTCGCTAACACAACGTAGGACAAGATCCTTAACCGCATAGTGATCACAGTCAACTTCCTGCAACCCAATTCTCAAACAATATACCGCAGTCCCTTTTTCGATGTGGTCTGGGCCTGGGTCAAAGAAAGCATAGTCTGGAAGGAAATTTTCACGTATGCTCTTTGTTATAACTTTACAGACCGTTTTATCGAGAATGTCGTACCGCTTGTACTCCAACGTGCCGGCGAAGAACGATCCGCGCACACGTACTTTTGCAGATTTCAACATGCCGAAATCATCAGGCCCCGCAGGCTCGACACTGAAGTCAAGGAACTCCATGTGCTTACAGATCTTTTCGTCGACCCAGTCGGCATACTCGAATGAATTGATGTAAACGCAACCGTCTACTGATGCCCAAGACCACGTCGGAGCGAATTTGGGATGCGGCCGAGCAAGTGGTGCAAGAGAGAGTTGCCAGGAGATGGTGTTTAGGATTGTTTGAGTCCACATTCCTGCCACGTAGTTTCCAAGCAAATGCTTGAAACTGCCGTGCATCTGTCGTGCGATTCCAGAAATGGCAGGAAGTCGGTCTTCGGCAAATGACAGATCAAGTCCGGAGTATTCGTGTACGATGAAATTCCATCTTCTCATCACTTCCGAGACTTCCACTGAGGGCGCCATGAAGAGGTCTTGATGGCTCACTTTCGGCATCGGAAAGATTTTATCGGTACCGCACGTGCTGCATTCGCAGAGGAGTTCCTCTCGACACTCCCATACAAGTTCGTTCGCAGTATAATGAATTGTGCGAGGTGATATCAGACGTTCTTGATAAACCCAGGCTCGAGCAAGAAGTGGTAGATCGGCTTTTTTATTTTGGATATGCGAACTGGGCCAGGATGGATGATCTAGGTATTTTCGAAGATATATCGTGCAATCATTGACCTTTGTCACTTCGTTAGATGTGTGCAACGAAGAAGCCTGCGAAAATAGGCTATCGCAGCTGTCACGAGACTTTGACGCAGATATAGTGAGCCTGGCGTTCTGGTAGATAGTCGACATTGAAGCAGCCTCCCTATGCCAGTCCTTCACATTATCTTGCATAATGCAAAGGCTGTCGATCCAGATGTATTGAAATCCCAGCTTGACCGTTAGTTTGAGAGCATCTCTGAAAAGGTTCGGGAGCAACTCCCAAGGTATTTCGGTCTTGAATTCAAGCAGATTGGATTGCGTCAGGCAGACAGGCAGTTTGCTACCCCAGCAGTGCGATAAGCATACGTAATTCTCGACATTACTGCAGTCATCGACCAAGGAGATGTACGGCGTAGGTTCCAGGCTATGAATGTGCAAGAGACGTGTTGGGCGATGCGCGGTCACTGCATGACCACACTTTGAATGATTGGAAACGCAGTCGTCCAGCCAATTCCGGAGCCTATTCAGAGTTGATTCACTTTCAGTATTCCCTGGAAGTAGATTACGTGCGCCGATGGATGCAGGGCCTAAATCTATTATCAGCTGCACCCTAGCACTTAACAAGGCGATGAATTCACCTTCGACACCTTTTTCATGGAAAAACTCAAACTCAGCCTGACTTTTATGGAGCCCATCTTCGAGGTGACTCCAATGTAGAATGTTGATTGCACTATATGTAATGCGACTCAATTCCTGTCGAACTTGGGGGGCCTGTCGACGGTACGCATCTAATACCTTATGGATGGAAAGACAGCTCAAACAGCCTCGCTCTGCCGAGTTCGCAAAACTATTGATATCCATTCTCCACCCGGGTTTTCGATGCGTGACTTCTTTTTCATGGATCTCTGTATCGTAAGGACGAGAGGTCGGCATTCGCTGCGCTATAACCACCTCTCTAGGATTCCATACATCGACTAGGCGGGCGCCATCTGCAAGTTTGATCGGACAGGAGTTAGGAGGAAGTTCAAATCCACACATCCCACAACGCATGCGGGTAACGTAGCAACCCTCCATAGTTAAATGAACGAGCTAGAAAGCGACTCTCTTTCAGCCTTGGAAACTGCGGAGCAAAGATATCGCGAGAGTTAAATTCCGATTACAAGTGGCTACCAAGACGTTACGAATTCAGATTAGAAAAGGAATCTTTGAAGGAATCCAAAGGTTGTAGCACCAAAGTTGAACTCCGCTATGACAGTGTAAGGAAGGCAGCGGTGGCGGTGCAATAGCTGTTTGGTTGCCTAGATTTGGAGGACAGCTGACTCAGCCTTCTGCACCATGGGTCACCGTTTTCTATGTCTAGAGTTATGGAGACTGTTAACTTGACAATTTTGTTAAAAGAATTGTTAGTCCTGTCGTTGCAGCCTTTAAGTGAAAGGCAAATTAAAACAGTTCTGGAAATTTGAAACATGACTTTAAAGAAGCGGTTAACCCTCGTGTATGTGCATGCTAAGAGCAGCTTGGTTGAGCTTTATTTTCAATTTGCCCCATCGGAACCGACCTGTAATTGTGTGATCAAGTTACTCTCTTCTCTACTTCGCCTCGACTTATAGAGTTAATCCTATATACCTGCACAAACCCTCTCCATCTCCACACTCTCCTAACCCGCACCTACCGACCCCCCTAACCCCTCAACCCCCTCCACGTAAGCATACACGTACCGCAAGTACCTCGCCCTCCCAAACCCCTAATCACCCCCTCCTTCCCGCGTATCCCTTTCAATCAGGGTACATACACTCGTCACTATAGTACCTATACCCACGCATTCCTTCCCTCCATAGCCACGGACCCATGCATCCGTCATTTCGAAACACCGTTCGGACAGCGATTGCACAGTGGGTTGGGTTGGGCCACGGGCGCGCGCGTGGGCAGCTGGGCAGAATGAAATCTCCGAAGGCGCGTGGGCTTTCCTCGGAGCGCTGCTTCCGTGCGGTGCTGGGGAGCTTGGTTTGGGATAGATATACCTACTTAAGTAATGTTGTATTTGGTTGTTGTGTTGGTTATTGGGATCTCTAGTGGACAGAGTGTGGTTTGCGATTGCGATTTGCGATTTGCGATAGTTTGGGAGAGCGGAGTATGGTATTACTGTGAGTGGATTAAGTAGGTAGCTAAGTAGGCTAGTCGCGTCCTCTGTATACCTTAGACTTTACTTCATAGCCACTATAGTGACTACCAAAACGTACCTAGCTATCTGTGAAGAGATACAACACCGGTGGACTATCTAAGTGCCTACCCCATCATACAGCTGTCCGTCACACACCTCCCCATCACTATCACCTCCCCCATCACACAGATCCCTAATGCCTCCTAATCATCCATACATCCCCTTTTCAAGTTTCCACCTCGCCAAAAATACGTAGTACGCTGTCGTGAAACTCCGTCTTGGTCCCCGTAGCGTGCTGCAGCACCACCAATACAGTGTAGCGCGCTGCACGGATCGGCGGCGAGACTGCGGAGGGCCCCCAAAGCTGTTTACACTGCAATACTCCGTAAAGAGGTCTGAGAGAACGTGGGCGTTTAGCGCAGTCTTGGTGAGGCTGTTTGGTAGTGTGCTTGGGGTGTAGGGGGCGAATCTGTCGTGACGGATGCGAGGTGAGGAAGGTGGTACAAGGACGGTCTTAGGCGAGCGGGCTGGAAAGTAGTGGGTGATTATTGAAGATACATAGGAGTGGATTAGGAGTACATCTCGTAGTTTAGTACGGTGGTTACTCTGTAGACCGTTAGATCATCAGAGATCTCGTAGCAAACATTGAACGTGGAGTTCGTACGGTAGCTCTCAGCGAAACGTCAGTTTCCCTTTTCAGACACCTACAGTCTTCGTACACCACAAGCCCAGCTCGCACTTATGAAAGCGGTATGTAATGCGCCAAAAATCCATCGGCTATTCGCACACGAGCACGAATCACTGCTAGAATCAAGTCTTTGGACGCCATCTCTTCATCCAAATGTTGCCGTCGTGCAACGCGGATGTAGCACAACTGCTCCCTTGCTGCTTACCGGCACTACATGGTCGCATAGATTAACAGCCAGGTCCGGCGAGGCTGTACCTCCCAACGCAGTGGTATTTGATGACTTTTAAGAGTACACCGCATCGTCCGCGCTTGGCTGCTTAGTACCGACCGCTTGGTGGAACGGAGGGATATTTACTGAAAAGCGATCGCACGCCTCGTATTGAACAGCTCGTCGTGTAATTGCTGCGACAACTCGAGACGCCTACAATGAACGCAAATGGACCACCACGTTCGTCGGAGTATCTTGCCGAGGATGGTAGCATGCCGTTGCTGGTGACGAGCATTGTGTTTCTGGCCATTGAAACAATCTTTATGGCATTCCTTTTCCTTTCACGATATTTCGCGAAGGGGGAAAGGCCGAATATGTGGATGGAGATACTCATGACGTTGACGTATATTGTATGCGTGGGCAAGATTACAATTGGATTTCGTAAGTCCATCTCAGGAACAACAACGCGG